GGTGTGGCGTGGTGTGCTGTGTCGTGGCGTGTCGTGGTGTGGCGTGGTGTGGCGTGGTGTGCTGTGTCGTGGCGTGGTGTGGTGTGTCGTGGCGTGGTGTGTCGTGGTGTGGCGTGGTGTGGCGTGGTGTGGTGTGCTGTGTCGTGGCGTGGTGTGTCGTGGTGTGGCGTGGTGTGGTGAGCTGTGGTGTGGCGTGGTGTGGCGTGGTGTGGCGTGGTGTGCTGTGTCGTGGTGTGGCGTGGTGTGTCGTGGTGTGCTGTGTCGTGGCGTGGTGTGGCGTGGTGTGTCGTGGCTTGGTGTGGTGTGTCGTGGCGTGGTGTGTCGTGGTGTGTCGTGGCTTGGTGTGGCGTGGTGTGTCGTGGTGTGTCGTGGTGTGCTGTGTCGTGGCGTGGTGTGTCGTGGTGTGTCGTGGCGTGGTGTGGCGTGGTGTGTCGTGGTGTGTCGTGGTGTGCTGTGTCGTGGCGTGGTGTGGCGTGGTGTGTCGTGGTGTGTCGTGCTGTGTCGTGGTGTGTCGTGGCGTGGTGTGTCGTGGTGTGGTGTGCTGTGTCGTGTCGTGGTGTGGTGTGGTGTGGCGTGGTGGGTCGTGGTGTGGTGTGCTGTGTCGTGGCGTGGTGTGTCGTGGTGTGTCGTGCTGTGTCGTGGTGTGTCGTGGCGTGTGTGTCGTGGTGTGGTGTGCTGTGTCGTGGTGTGTCGTGGTGTGGTGTGGTGTGTCGTGGCGTGGTGTGTCGTGGTGTGTCGTGCTGTGTCGTGGTGTGTCGTGGCGTGGTGTGTCGTGGTGTGCTGTGTCGTGGTGTGTCGTGGTGTGGCGTGATGTGTCGTGTCGTGGTGTGGTGTGGTGTGGCGTGGTGTGGTGTGGTGTGGCGTGGTGTGTCGTGGGGTGCTGTGTCGTGGCGGTGGTGTGGCGTGGTGTGTCGTGGCTTGGTGTGGTGTGGCGTGGCGTGGTGTGTCGTGGCTTGGTGTGGTGTGGCGTGGCGTGGTGTGTCGTGGTGTGTCGTGGCTTGGTGTGGCGTGGTGTGTCGTGGTGTGTCGTGGTGTGCTGTGTCGTGGCGTGGTGTGTCGTGGTGTGTCGTGGCGTGGTGTGGCGTGGTGTGTCGTGGTGTGCTGTGTCGTGGCGTGGTGTGGCGTGGTGTGTCGTGGTGTGTCGTGCTGTGTCGTGGTGTGTCGTGGCGTGGTGTGCTGTGTCGTGTCGTGGTGTGGTGTGTCGTGGCGTGGTGTGGTGTGGCGTGGTGTGTCGTGGTGTGGTGTGTCGTGTCGTGGCGTGGTGTGGTGTGTCGTGGTGTGGTGTGGTGTGGGGTGGCGTGGTGTGGTGTGGTGTGTCGTGGTGTGGCGTGGTGTGTCGTGGTGTGGCGTGGTGTGGTGTGGCGTGGTGTGGCGTGGTGTGTCGTGGTGTGGTGTGGCGTGGCGTGGTGTGGCGTGGTGTGTCGTGGTGTGGTGTGTCGTGTCGTGGCGTGGTGTGTCGTGGTGTGGTGTGGCGTGGTGTGTCGTGGTGTGTCGTGTCGTGGCGTGGTGTGTCGTGGTGTGGTGTGTCGTGTCGTGGTGTGTCGTGTCGTGGCGTGGTGTGGTGTGTCGTGGTGTGGTGTGTCGTGGTGTGGTGTGGGGTGGTGTGGTGTGGGGTGGTGTGTCGTGTCGTGGTGTGGCGTGGTGTGTCGTGGTGTGGTGTGTCGTGTCGTGGCGTGGTGTGGTGTGGCGTGGTGTGTCGTGGTGTGGTGTGTCGTGTCGTGGTGTGTCGTGTCGTGGCGTGGTGTGGCGTGGTGTGTCGTGGTGTGGTGTGCTGTGTCGTGGTGTGGCGTGGTGTGGCGTGGTGTGGCGTGGTGTGGTGTGGCGTGGTGTGCTGTGTCGTGGTGTGTTGTGGCGTGGTGCGGCATGGCGCGATGTTGCCTCTCCTGCGCGCCTGGTTCGTGCTGCTGGAGACGCAGTGCGAGGCGCGCGCTCCTCATTAGCGGCGCGCGGTGTGCGCGCAGTGCCGCGGTGTGCGCGCAGTGCCGCGGTGTGCGCGCAGTGCCGCGGTGTGGGCGCAGTGCCGCGGTGTGCGCGCAGTGCCGCGGTGTGGGCGCAGTGCCGCGGTGTGCGCGCAGTGCCGCGGTGTGCGCGCAGTGCCGCGGTGTGCGCGCAGTGCCGCGGTGTGGGCGCAGTGCCGCGGTGTGCGCGCAGTGCCGCGGTGTGGGCGCAGTGCCGCGGTGTGGGCGCAGTGCCGCGGTGTGCGCGCAGTGCCGCGGTGTGCGCGCAGTGCCGCGGTGTGGGCGCAGTGCCGCGGTGTGGGCGCAGTGCCGCGGTGTGGGCGCAGTGCCGCGGTGTGCGCGCAGTGCCGCGGTGTGGGCGCAGTGCCGCGGTGTGGGCGCAGTGCCGCGGTGTGCGCGCAGTGCCGCGGTGTGGGCGCAGTGCCGCGGTGTGCGCGCAGTGCCGCGGTGTGGGCGCAGTGCCGCGGTGTGGGCGCAGTGCCGCGGTGTGTGCGCAGTGCCGCGGTGTGCGCGCAGTGCCGCGGTGTGGGCTCAGCTCCCTGACGAGGCCAAAGGGAAACGTGCGAATGGGTGTCCTCGCTGCAGCGGGGGCGTGGGGGGAGGGGCTGGTATTACTGTGGGGGGCAGACGCGCTGGTGCCATGACTTGCGGCCCCCACAGCCAGAGCCCGCAGCAGACACTGGGCATGAGCTCTGAACACGTGACACGAGTGAGCTCGTGGAGAGAGAGCGCGAGCGAGGGGGAGAGAGGGAGACGGGAATGGCAGTGAAGTCGGGAGCCACTCCCGCAGCCTTCCCCAGTCCACCAGCACCATCATCAGCGCCACCCCCTTGCTCTGTCAACAGCGCAGCAGCCAATCAGCATCCCCGAACAAGGTCAGCCCCACACCCCGAGTCTCACCCTCTCCCTGAACCCTAACAACCCCACCACGAACTACAACCACCAATTCTCACCCCTCACCTTTCTCATCCCCATTACCTCCGATGGTGGTTAAGTCGCAACAACACGGCCGCACCGCCCCACGGCGATTGTCTGCCGCAGTGTTTTTGTGTGTCTGTGTGTTTGTGTGTTTATGTGTCTGGGTGTTTGTGTGTTTGTGTGTCTGTCTGTTTGTGTGTCTGTGTGTTTGTGTGTCTGTGTGTTTGTGTGTTTGTGTGTCTGTGTGTTTGTGTGTCTGTGTGTCTGTGTGTTTGTGTGTCTGTGTGTCTGTGTGTCTGTGTGTTTGTGTGTCTGTGTGTGTGTGTGTTTGTGTGTTTGTGTGTCTGTGTGTGTGTGTTTGTGTGTGTCTGTGTGTTTGTGTGTTTGTGTGTCTGTGTGTTTGTGTGTGTGTTTGTGTGTTTGTGTGTGTCTGTGTGTCTGTGTCTGTGTGTGTGTGTGTCTGTGTGTTTGTGTGTCTGTGTATGTGTGTTTGTGTGTTTGTGTGTCTGTGTCTGTGTGTTTGTGTGTCTGTGTGTTTGTGTGTGTGTTTGTGTGTGTGTGTTTGTGTGTGTGAGTGAGTGACACGCCGTGTCCTTTGCACGCAGTGCCGCTCCGCGCGGCTCTCTGCTGCCCAGCCCCATCGCTGCGGTGACGGTGGCGCGCATTGCGGTGAATCGCGTGACGCGGGGCCACCAGCTGCTGCTGCTGCAGCCCTGAAGCTGCTGAAGTTGCTGCTGCAGTAGCAGCAGCAGCAGCATGAAACAGCATGAAGCTGCTGCTGCTGCTGCTGCTGGAGCAGCTTCAGGGCTGCCGATGAACGCGCGCGCTGCTCTCAAAGTCAAACTCGGGGGCCAATCGGCGCGTCGCGGTGACCGCGCCCGGCCACGGGCGTCCCGGAGCGACCCCCTCACACCCCCCCACACCCCTCACCCCCCACAGCCCCCACACCCCCTCACACCCCCTCACACCCCCACACTCCCTCACACCCCCTCACCCCGCACACCCCCCACACCCCCACACCCCCCACCCCCACCCCGGTGTGCGCCGCGATCCCAAAGCCGCTCGTCTCCTTGCCCAGGAGCCCCCCTCGCCCTGCCGCCGCCTGACGGACGCGGTCTCCGAGCCCCCCCCCGCCCCCAGTGTGACGCGCAGCGCACAGGCGCAGCACCAGCAGCACCAGCAGCACCAGCAGCACCAGCCCCACGGCAGCCCCACCCTGGGGGGGGGGTCCCCTTCACGCCGGCGGCGTCAAGGGGAGGGGGCGGGGGCCGTGCCCGCTGGGAGCCGCTCGGAGCCAACTCGCCGTGGTGGTTATGGCTTTTGTATCTCGAGCTTCCGTGTGGCGTTTTTGGAAAGACCTAGGATTAGATCTAGGAAATCGCGAGCCGTATATATTCACAAGCACGTCGCTGCGCATAGATTAAGTATAGTTCAAGTCAACAATCGCGTTCCTTAAATATGATCGAGTTTAAAAACGCGGTCGGGTCGCGAGACGTACCCCGTGGCGATGCTTGCATATAGAGAACAGTACACACACAGTACACACACAGTACACACACAGTACACACACACAATACACACACAGTACACACACAGTACACACACAGTACACATACACAGTACACATACAGTACACACACAGTACACACATACAGTACACACACAGTACACACACAATACACACAGTACACACACACAGTACACACACACAGTACACACACAGTACACACACACAGTACACACACAGTACACATACAGTACACACAGTACACACACACAGTACACACACACAGTACACACACACAGTACACACAGTACACATACAGTACACATACAGTACACACACATAATACACACACAGTACACACACAGTACACACATTACACACACAGTACACACACACAGTACACATACAGTACACACACAGTACACACACACAGTACACACACACAGTACACATACAGTACACACACAGTACACACACACAGTACACACACACAGTACACACACGCACCATGCGACTCGCGCGGCCACAGCGGCACGAGATGTAAACAGCGGCGACCCCACGGGGGCTCCGGCCTCGTCGTACGCGCGCCACGCAGCGCGGGCCGCGCTGATGCCGGCGGCGGCGTCATCATCATCATCATTATCGTGACGACGACGCCGATAGCGGTGGACACCGTCACCGTGAGAATGGCTCGTCCCGAGAGGCCGGCGTCGCTCCCTCCTCGCTGCAGTGGCGGGTGGGGGGAGGGGAGGCGCTGTGCCCGGCCCCACGCGGCCCCACGAGGGCCCACGAGGGCCTGCGGGCAGCGGTCGCGGCCCACCGTCACACGTAGGCCGACTCGCTGGAGTGCGTGCGGCCGAAGCCGACGGGGCCACCCTGAGAGCGGATCTCGCCGATGGACTTGCGCCGCGCTTGCACGCCCTGCACCGCCTGCTTGATCTTGCGCCAGCCCAGGTGGTTGAGCTCGGCCAGGTTGAGGACGACGCAGAGGCCGCTCACGGCGAACATGAAGACGAGGAAGACGGTCTTCTCGGTGGGCCGCGACACGTAGCACTCCACCTCCTTGATGCACGGGTATCTGTCGCACTCGAACATGGGCGGCACGTTGAAGCCGTAGAGGAAGTACTGCCCCGTGAGGAAGCCGATCTCGAGCGCGTTGCGGAACACCACCTGGATGATGTAGAAGCGTGAGATGCCGTCCTGCCTGCGGCCCCTCAGCTTGCTCGTCCGCATCAGCGGCGTCGGGTGCATGACCTCCTTCACCTCGTGGCCCTCCGGCTCGCGCGACGAGTTCTCGGTGTTTTGCAGCAGGATGCCGTTCAGCATGGAGTTCTTCGTCTTCTTGCTGTCGTCTCGCTTCTCGGGCGAGAGGTCGTGCAGGATCTCCTTGTCCTGCAGCAGCAGCGCGTGCAGCACCGAGGAGCGACGCTCCCGCGCCTTGGCCGAGTGGTGGAGCGAGTAGGTGATGAAGCAGAGGCTGGGCGTGCACACCATGATGATCTGGAAGACCCAGTAGCGGATGTGCGAGATGGGAAACGCCTTGTCGTAGCACGCCTGGTTGCAGCCCGGCTGGAGGGTGTTACACACAAACATCGTCTGCTCGTCTTCGTAGACGGTCTCTCCCACAATCGCCACTATCAGGATCCGGAAAATAACCACGACTGTCAAGAGGATCCTAAGGCAGAGACACACAAGCGGTCTCCGTCACACCACCACCACCAGCACCACCAGTACCAGCAGCAGCAGCAGCAGCAGCACCGGCAGCATCGCAGGCGCCCTGCACGCGACACTCGGCACGGCGTTAGCGCGGAACGCGGCGCGCGTCAAAGTTTCCCTCCCCGCGACCCCCGGGGCGAAGCCGCGCCGCTCGGTGCGTGCGGAGCGGCGCGGCGCCTACCTGCCGATCATGGTGGAATGCTGCTGCACGGCAGCCTCCAGCAGTCTCTCGAGGATGGTCCATTCCCCCATCTTCCCCCCGTGCCGCTCGCCTCAGCGCGGGCCCGAGTGTGCTGAGAGCCCGGCACGCCGCCCGCGGCTCATCACGCAGCCACCTCGCCTCGCCGCGGCATCGCCTCCCCGGGAGCCGCGCTGCGGCGCGACCCTCCCACGACTCTGCCTCCTCCTCCTCCTCCTCTCACTCCTCGATTCGTTCTCTCCTCGCCGCGCCGGAGCGCAGTGCCCGCTATGCGGGTCTCAGGTGCCGCTATGCGGGTCCCAGGTGCCGCCGCTCCACGAGCCCCGAGCGCAGCCTCGCGAGCCGGGCGAGGAGGGCACGGACTCGTCGCCAAGACTTCTTCATTGCGCCGCGCGGCGTTTATTCGGCATCGTTAGCACCAGCGCCGCTCCTCCTCCTCCTCGTCCTCGCCGCGTGTGCAGCGGCTGCAGTGTGCGCGGGGTGTGCGGAGCGCGCGTGCTGCGGGTTGGTGTGAGCCGGGCATTGCGAGCCGCGCTCCTCGCGCTGCGCTAATTTTATCTCCGCGCCGCTCGCCTTGACGGAGATGAAAGTGACAGCGGCGGCAGCGGCGCCACGAGGGGGCACGGGGCGCGGCGCACAGATGTTGGGGGAGGGGCGGGGGGGCTAGGGGGGAGGGAATGGGGGGTGTTGGGTGTGTGGGGGGGGCTAGGGGGGAGGGAATGGGGGTGTTGGGTGTGTGGGGGGGGCTAGGGGGGAGGGTGTTGGGTGTGTGGGGGCGGGGGGGCTAGGGGGGAGGGAGTGGGGCGGGGGGACTAGGGGGGAGGGAGTGGGGGGTGGGGTGTGTGGGCGGGGGGGCTAGGGGGGAGGGAGTGGGGCGGGGGGGCTAGGGGGGAGGGAGTGGGGGGTGGGGTGTGTGGGGCGGGGGGGGCTAGGGGGGAGGGAGTAGGGCGGGGGGGCTAGGGGGGAGGGAATGGGGGTGTTGGGTGTGTGGGGGGGCTAGGGGGGAGGGTGTTGGTGTGTGGGGCGGGGGGGGGGCTAGGGGGGAGGGAGTGGGGCGGGGGGGCTAGAGGGGAGAGAGTGGGGGGTGGGGTGTGTGGGGCGGGGGGGCTAGGGGGAGGGAGTGGGGTGTGTGGGGCGGGGGGGCTAGGGGGGAGGGAGTGGGGTGTGTGGGGCGGGGGGGCTAGGGGGGAGAGTGTGGGGCGGGGGGGGGCTAGGGGGGAGAGTGTGGGGCGGGGGGGCTAGGGGGAGGGAGTGGGGGTGTTGGGTGTGTGGGGCGGGGGGGGCTAGGGGGGAGGGTGTGGGGCGGGGGGGTGTCGGAACCGATGCAGGACCCTGCGTGGTCGTGTTCGCCGCTCCAACTGAGTGCAAGGGGAGCGCGGCTCTCGCGCGACTTGGTCGCGACTCGGCACACGCGGAGACATTCACCGCATCGCCGCCTCGCCAGTTGCCCCCCCCCCCCCAACTCTTGCCACCGCACCCCCCGAACCTTCCCCTCAGCACCTTCGGTGCCTTTGCCGTCCGTGCCAGCAGCAGCAGCAGCAGCAGAGCCCCTGCGTCTCTGCCGGTCTCGTGTTCCCCGAGCCCCTTTACCCCTCCCCCGTCCACCCGCACAGCCCTCACCCCCCGGCACCCCCTCCCCACTCTCCCCACAGCGCGCGTCGCATCGGCGAACTCAGACTCCCCCCCCATTTCAGCATCTCGCCTCCGGTGGCGGTCCTGCTGAAAGAATCACCCCACCCATAGGAATGTTGAATTCCCACCACCGGATCGGTGTTGTGAACAAGGAGAAGTACACCCACCGCCTGGAGGTGTCTCTGGCTGAGTGGTGAGAGGCCGCCCGGCCCCGCTGCCCCCCCCCCGGGGGCTCATCCCCGAGGAGGGTGCGCGAGTGGAGTGGGGAGCGGTGGTGCAGTGGTTAGCGCACTGCGCGACGAGCCCAGCGACCCGAGTTTCATTCCCGCTCACGACCAACACCAATAACGAGTATCTAGGTCGACTCAGTCTTAAATCAGTACCTGCTTGCGCATTTGTCAACATCAGCACGGGAGAGACAAAGGCGGCCGGACGCGGTGCTGACGAGCCACCCGCTCGGGCATCGTTCCGTCCTTCGTAGGTGCTGCTCGCTCACAGCACTTGCTCCAACAATCTGCTAAAGCTATACAGGAGAGCTGTGTCTTTGTGCGTGTGCTTGACGCATCCTGGCACTTCTCTATATTACATAATAGGATACAGTACTGCAATGCAATGGATGGGAATGGCTGCAGACACAACGTGCACGTGAAATGAACGCTGGGATGAGGCGGAAGGCAAGGATCATGCCGTGAAGTTGCGAGCCGGGGAATTATTTAAGGAATCCTGATTTATTCACGAGCGAGGCAGCGAGCTCCGGGATAAAAATAGAAACCGGCTCCTCCTCCTGCTGCTCCTCCTCCTGCTGCTCCTCCTCCTGCTGCTGCTGCTGCGTCTCGCGTCCCCGAGCCGCGAGGCGCAGCAGCAGCACAGGGGGCGGGGGCGGTGGAGAATCCATTGGTCTGTGAGGAGAGGCGCTCGTGTACTACTACTACACACGTGTGGTAGTAGTACACACACGTGTGGTAGTACACACACGTGTGGTAGTAGTACACACACGTGTGGTAGTACACGAGCACAGGATACAGCGTCACTGTGTCTGCATATGCGTATCGATGTCATGTAATCTCGACGCCAGATATCAATATTTAGTTTCCATTTCTGCATTGGGTAAACTAAATCTGGCACCTCTTGAGCCGCGACGGGCCAGCTCGGCACGGTCAAGGCGCGGCTCGGATGTGCAAGTGGAAAAGAGATGCGTGTGGCTGTACGGAGGCACGACATCATAAACATTATGAACGCTGCGCGCCGATTGGCCAAGCAAGGGTCCCTGGACATTGCGTCCACACCGGGAGAGGAGGGGAGCCGTTGTGCAACGTCATGTACTGCAGCGATGTAGCAATGTGCAACGATGTCTTTGAAGGTTATGATATCACGGCTACAGCGCCTTAACTTGGAATTAGTTTTCAATTATTAATGACATTGACTGTGGGCAGGCAGCTGCACTGGTTTGGAGCGGAGTCCCATCCAGGGAGGACTCTGTGATTGTGGATACGCAGCGGGGGTCTGTGGTCGCGAGGATGGGGGCGGTGTTGGGGCTTAGAGGAGGGGGGGGGGTCGGTGTTGGGGCTTAGAGGAGGGGGGGTCGGTGTTGGGGCTTAGAGGAGGGGGGGGGGCTATGGCGGGGGGGGGGTCGAGTTGGGAAGCGAGGGGCAGCGCCTTCGCAAAGGTCGAGGAAGGCGGCGCTGTGCAGCGCGGGGTGGGGGGCTCACGGGGGGAGGGGGGATAGGGCCCTGTCGCCTCCACTGCTACAGCCCCCCCCCACCACGTGACCTTTAATTGGGGATGGACGCAGCGTGGAGCAGTGCACCCCCCCTTCCCCGCCAGCGCGTGACACCGCGCTCATCACTGCGGCTGCTGCAACCCGCGCCTCGACGCGACCACGCGTCGCGTGCCGCCGCCGCTGCTGCTGCCGGTGGCGGCCGCGGGTCTCGGGGGACTCGGGTCCCGCAGGGGCCGCACCCGCCGCGCGCTCGCGGGGCTGGGGGCGCAGCCCCCGCGCTATCGCCGCCCGAGTTCGGCGCGCGGCGCCGCTGCCGCCGCTGTTGCTGCTGCTGTTGCTGCTGCCGCTGTTGCTGCTGCCGCTGTTGCTGCTGCCGCTGTTGCTGCTGCTGCCGCTGTTGCTGCTGCCGCTGTTGCTGCTGCCGCCACTGTTGCTGCTGCCGCTGCCGCTACTACTGCTGCTGCTGCCGCTGCTGCCGCCGCTGCTGCTGCTCCGCACTGCGGCACATCCAGAACCCCCCCCCCCTCTCTTTCTCTCTCGAGTCTCGGGCTCTGCGATTCCACGAAACTGAGAACGCCGCGAGCTCCCGGTGCAACGCGCGGCTCGCGATGCACCGCGCTCTCCTCTCGCTCTCCCCACGCTCTCCTCTCGCTCTCCCCACGCTCTCCGCACGCTCTCCCCACGCTCTCCTCTCGCTCTCCCCACGCTCTCCGCACGCTCTCCTCGCTCTCTGCTGCCCGCTCTCTCCCTGTGCGCTCTGTTGACTCCGTCTCCTCATTTGCATCTCCGTCTAAAATAAACCCGAGGCTCCCCGTTGCCCGCGTCTCCTGCGCTCGCTCCTCGCTCAGACTGCGCGCGGAGCGAGCGCTGCGTGGCCTGGCTGCGTGACCTGGCTGTGTAACCTGGCTGTGTAACCTGGCTGTGTGACCTGGCTGTGTGACCTGGCTGCGTGACCTGGCTGTGTGACCTGGCTGTGTGACCTGGCTGTGTAACCTGGCTGTGTAACCTGGCTGCGTGCCCTGGCTGTGTAACCTGGCTGTGTAACCTGGCTGTGTGACCTGGCTGTGTAATCTGGCTGTGTAACCTGGCTGTGTAACCTGGCTGTGTGACCTGGCTGCGTGACCTGGCTGTGTAACCTGGCTGTGTAACCTGGCTGTGTGACCTGGCTGTGTGACCTGGCTGCGTGCCCTGGCTGTGTAACCTGGCTGTGTGACCTGGCTGCGTGACCTGGCTGCGTGACCTGGCTGTGTGACCTGGCTGTGTGACCTGGCTGCGTGACCTGGCTGCGTGCCCTGGCTGTGTAACCTGGCTGTGTGACCTGGCTGCGTGACCTGGCTGCGTAACCTGGCTGTGTGACCTGGCTGTGTGACCTGGCTGCGTGCCCTGGCTGTGTAACCTGGCTGTGTGACCTGGCTGCGTGACCTGGCTGTGTAACCTGGCTGTGTGACCTGGCTGCGTGACCTGGCTGCGTGACCTGGCTGTGTGACCTGGCTGCGTGACCTGGCTGTGTAACCTGGCTGTGTAACCTGGCTGTGTGACCTGGCTGCGTGACCTGGCTGCGTGACCTGGCTGCGTGACCTGGCTGCGTGACCTGGCTGTGTGACCTGGCTGCGTGACCTGGCTGTGTGACCTGCGTGGAATGCTCCGTCAGCGCAGTTGGTCATGAATTACGCAATGGAACAAAATAGCCAGGACTGCGGTGAACTAACACGGCTATAGCATCGCTGTAGCATCGCTGTAGCCGTGTAGTGGCGTCGTCTGTGACTCGCACCTCTTATCAGTCACCCTGTTATCCGCGATATGACGGGTAATGAGATTGACCTTCGTGCGGAAAGCGTGAGGCGCATTCTGTGACGGAAAGGGCATCGATGTGCAAAACGCAGGGACGTGAAACTCAGAACTGAATGAGTTAAACGCGATCATCGTGATGCAACGTTATTGACGTCACACACCCGTTGTTAATCTGCTGCGGGATACGCTGTCGGTCGTGGCGGTTGTTTTGACCATACTTCACCACGCTGGTCAGTACTGTACTCTCAGAGTGTAGCTGCTGTCGTGAGGAACCTGAGCGTGCCGCGAGCCCCGATCACAGCCCCACAGCGGCCGTCAGCACGAGACCCCGGGGGTGTGTGTGTGTGGTCACGGTGTGTGTGTGTGTGTTCACGGTGTGTGTGTGCTCACGGTGTGTGTGTTCACGGTGTGTGTGTGGTCACGGTG